TTGTCAGGCATACAAATGGTTGTTTCATCAGGGTTCCTGTGTGTATGGCAATGGTTAGGTCGTATCGAAGACAATAGGTAACACAGTTTATTGAGTGTTGTCATCAGCAACAGTGAATGGCATCTAGAAGCATACACATAAAGGGGAAAGTTTATATGTGTCGACTCTTGTGTTATGAAGACCATTTGAAGTTGGCATTCATACATTTTACACCTTTATACCTGTTTTGTTCCATGTATTGTCGTTTTATGTAGCTACATGCACATATACAATACAATACTATGAATATACAACTTCACTCTCTTTTTGAAAATGCGTCCATCCTTAGAGAATTATTTCACGAGGTTTAGTGATTACGGAAATATGTCCCGAGTAAAATTAATGTTCACTGTCCCGAGCTTTAGAGAGGGTCTTGAACATTAATTTCACGTGGGACATATTTCCCGTAATCACTCGTACATCGTGGATTATTCTATTATAACACATTCTGTAATTTAGTCGAGAAACCAGTATTTATTAACTCAAAGCCGCATCTTCTTATCTACGTGTTTACAACTAAATCAGCTGATACGTATTAATGAAACTGCTCAAGCCTAATGGAATCGCTCTACGATTATAGTACACAATTCAACAGTTTCAAAATTTCGTTTGATGGGGATGTTATCGACCACACACCCTTGTAAAGATTAAGTTTATTTTAACGAGTACAATCACATATCCAGTATTTAGTCGTAGATCGCAGATGTGACGATCTTGACTTCGATCTAAACGCGTCAGGAAATGACTGTGACTCTGGTTGGATACAAAACCGCAAAGACCTGTCAAATTCTTATAACGTTAACTTATGAAACAGCAAAGAATCTGCAGGGGAACAATAAAACGCAGGAATGGTGAACATTCTTCAAGGAGACGGTACAGAATTTGTGAACGTTTGCCAACATTTTGCTGAAACGGACTGCTACCTAGTTTGGGCTCGTGTAAGGTTATATGTCAGGAACGATAACTCTAACCTTTGTCCGAGTCCGAGTCGACAACAAGCAAAATACGCTTTATCGGTGCTGGCGGTTTGTTGCAAGAAGAATCATTTGAAATAGTGAAGTTGAGAACTCCACCGTACGTTGGACCAGAAAAAAACGTTATGAACAGCATGACACTCTCGTGCAGGCAAGTGGGAACTTCCATTTCACCATATTCATTGTTTATCACACACACGTGAAAGGAATTTAGTGGTTGCATTATTCTCGCTGCATGTCCAGTAATGTCTCCGTCCACCTTGACCAGATCATTGTTTTTGATTGAAGATAACTGGGTAGCCATGTTTGTTTACAAAAGAAGCAGACGATTTATCAATTTTAGGCAATGTTTTATTACAAAACATGTTGTTAAGTCACGGATGCTATATTGTTAATTAAGAATGAAAGCATGAAATTAGCATCAAAACCGAAATCCTGTATGTTTTGCGGGTTTGTTGTTTTTTGTTTGGTTGGGTTTGTTTTGTTTTGGGTTTGGGGTTTTTTTGCTTGTATTTTGGGTGTATTTTTTGTTGTTGTTATTGTTTGTGGGGTTGGGGTTGATTTTAACTAGAATATAACTGTAAAACGAGTATGAACATCTAAAACATCCTAACTATGAAAGACAATACAATATAAAAACCGATTGACCCTAGCTGGATTTACACCATCCCTTCAGCTGTTAGCAGTTTAGACATATTTAGCCATACATTAAAAGAACAAATATTCGACTACTAAAAAGTTTGTTAGTTTAAATGTACTTCAAATGTTTTGGGACTTACGTACCCCCACAAGAGGGCACTAATTTTACAATACTTCAAACCCCTGTAAGGATACAGCCACTCACAATCTCAGCTGCTCAATTAAACTAACAATAATGAAATATTTATCTATTTACAAACCATTTATCAAAATCCATCTAATAATTTTATTTCTTTTAAAAATTCAACAATTAAATGATAATTAACATTGAAATGATCCTTCACTGTTTTGACATTGAAATATTTATCCCTTGTGATGGAAAAATGAATACAGTCAAGCAGGACTTGACCGTGAGTCTTTCATCACATGGATACAAAACGGAGGGTGGATCTTCACATTTTAACAGGTATTCATGCGTATATCTAGTATGGCCAATACGACATCTTCACATGATGACCTCTTCAAATCTGGACTGACAACCCAAGTAGGGTAGGTATATAATTACAAATATAGGGTTTTATAGCATGTAATTTATTTCTACCTACTTTCACAAGCCTCTGCGCCACCATCCTTGGACCCATCTGTAAATAAGGATTTGTATGTATCATATTTACTTTTCAATTGATTACATTCTTGTTTACATTGTAATTCATTTTCTGATTTCTTAAACATTGTCGGGCCGGTGGGGTAGCCTAGTGGTTAAAGCGTAGGCTCGTCACACCGAAAACCCGGGTTCGAATCCCCACATGGGTACAATGCGTGAAGCCCATTTCTGGTGTCCCCCGCCGTGATGTTGCTGGAATATTGCTAAAAGCGGCGTAAAACCAAACTCAGTCAGTCAGTCAGTCTTAAACATTGTCAGTGTTAGATCAACTTGCATTGTGGCCTCAATAATTGCCAAGGAGGATGAAGGATATATATTTTCCAACTCAGTGCGGCGGCAGAAATGAATGGTTTGGGATAGAAGACACAGTCAAATGCAGCGTTAGATTCGTTGAATATAGTTTTGTAATATATTGTAAAGATAATTTTATACGGTGTTGTGTAAGAGATGGCTCATCTGCCTCGATGTAGAGACTGTCTAAAACCTTGGTGGTGGATTGAATCTAATAGTTTTAGGTTGCTTTTGCAAGCTGCACCATATACGATGGAGCAATAATCGAGTATTGAACGGACCAATGATCGATGCAGGTGTAGGAGGGTAGCCTGATGCCCTCCCCACTTAGAATTGGAAACGACTTTCAACAAGTCAAGTGCCTTTAGTCAGTGGAGTTGCCGTTCAATAGTACGCATATTTTTACCGCGACAAGAAATATTAAAATCATTCACAAAAAGTGATCCATCAATTGAATCAGTTAAAACCTTTGATAAACTGTTGATCCTGATCCTAAAGAGTGTGACATGATTCAACCAAATGTTTCAGTAGCTGATAATGGACATGAGCTTGCTCAAGCGCTGTGTGAGGACCATGGTGTTTATCAGCTTTTGTTAGAATTGAATGTGTAACCTTCCATTATCCTTAATAAGGAAAGGTGTACTGAACACTTGGCAAGACATTTAACCTTCCATTATCCTCAATAAGAAACACATTATGATATTCATATCTAACTGAATCTGTGAATTGTAAAGTGTTTTCCAAACAACGCAAGGTGCACTGGAAAAATGTCTCATTATATATTTTGAAATCAAAGCAAACTTGCATTCACGTAAATTAAGGCCATTTGGAAAGTTCATTTAGTGAACAAGAGAAAATCGACCTTCCACAAATAGTGTTAAACGAAATGTATTGCGTCGGATCAATAATAATGTAGTTGTATTACACATGTGCCCTCCTGAGAGCATCGTCATCTGACAAAGATATATTCTCTCACTGAAGGCTGTGTTACCGAAGTGATTCGAAATTGTGCCACATAATTCTTATTTTGTTGGATGGTCTTTCTTTGTGTGTGTGTTATTTCCTGTGTTTTCGTTTCAATACTGAAATCATGTGAATGTTCGCTTTTAAGAAAGGTAACTTTGTGGTGCTGTGCACAGATTCGTGAACATGTGAACTTCACAACAACTGATTATCTACTACAAAGTATCCAACATATATTTCCATCTTTACCAAAGGAGTATCAATGTTTCGATAGAATCATTAAATATCCAGGCTAAAATGTTAGACTTAGTTTTGTTCATTTATTCTAAATAGATAGAGTTTGAGCTTCAAAGTGGGTGCAATGTTTGCTGGTTTGTTCTTGAATGCTACCCAAGAAAGTGTCTTCACGACATCTTTCACAATCAGTGCTAATGTTGCTGTTGAGAAAATAAGGGTGGGAATATTTATGTTGTTTCATCAGGTAACCACATCGATGTTTCACTCACCTGATATAACCACTATATAGAGAACAAGCTTCAGAAATTGTATCAGTCAAATTGACGTGGAGGTTGCCTTTCGGGAAATAAAGCCATCCCTGTTTGTGACCTGAACTCCCATACTTTAACATAGGTTAAATCACCCATGAAATTGTTTTCGTTAGATAATCGAGACTGATTATACTCTGACACATCACTCACAAATCAAGAGAACAAAATAAATGAAAATAAACTCTTTGTTTGATTTTTGGCCCTACCCATAGAATCAATCAGCTTCCCTTTAACAGATTTTGTCTTCTATGGCCCATGAAATCGAGCCTGATTATTCTCTGGAGTTAACACATCACTCCAAAACCTAGAGAAATTAGAATTAGGTGGAAATACATAACGCCATTGTTTGAAGTCTGATGCTATGTAACCATTATAGATACTTACAAAAGCAAATGATTGTTTGAATATGCCTCCTACTCATCGAATCGATACCCTTTTAACAGACAATATGCAATCATGAAAAATATTCAGAGTAGACCTCTATTATCATGCATACTAATGGCTTATCAATCAGGGTTGCTGTCTGTATCGCGATGGTTAGGTCCTTATATAGACGGAAATTGGTAAAAGCCTTCTTGTGTGTTGGAACACATTGACCGTTATTCAGTAATATTGATCTACATTCTATCTTACAGGTATATAACGTTTACCTCTATAACCACTGATCATGCAACGGAAACGACGCACTAAGGATGGCTCTGACTGTATTCACACATGTCATCAGCATTGGTATTTTTACTACTATTCTAGTTCATATTCACGGAAACAGATCAGATGATCAAGGGAGACTTTTACAACACTTGCTAAATAACAACGAACCGCAACTGTTCCCAAGCAACGGAGTACTCTACATTAGTATTTTCTTTAGTCATTCACAAATAGTTGAACACGATGAACGGCGACAATCCATCACCACCAGTGGATGGTTCAGACTGCAGTGGATGGATGAAGCCTTGATGTGGAACGTCTCGGACTTTAACAACATAAAGAATATGACCCTGTCAAGCGATAGAGTCTGGACACCTGATGTACTGCTTGTAAATTCTGTTGCAGAAAGGACACTTTTTAATGAACACACTGCACCTGTATCTGTGGAACACACAGGATTAGTCACGTGGTACCACGGTGATATCTTCCAGAGCCATTGCGATTTTGATGTTGTATATTTTCCGTTTGATACTCAAAACTGCAGTCTTGTTTTGTCAACATGGGTCACACCATCGGATAGTATCCACTTCACGCCAGGTGCGCAGAAACCAGTGAAAATCTTGCTTTCGAGAATGGATTATGGCAGTTACAGGACATTTCAATATTTGCCTACGACACAGTCTTTCCATATCTCGTTGCAAACCTGACTATTAAGCGCCAACCATCATACTATGTTTTCAACTTGATCATCCCTATTGTGCTACTATCCATTCTCAGTTCCCTGGTGTTTGCTCTGCCAGCAGAGTATGGAGACAAAGTAGGTCTCTCCATGACCGTTCTACTCTCCTTCGGGGTCTTTCTCACTCAGATGACAAACAATATGCCCAAGACATCCCGTCAGACGTCCTACCTCACCATCTACTTGACCATCCTCCTCACCCTAAGCTCCATCCATGTGGTAATGTCGGTTGTTATCCTCAGAATGCATAGGCGACAAGGAGTGGTCCCGTTGTTGTTACAGAAATTAGTAATTTATTTGAAGTGTTGTCATTCAAATAAGGGACTGGCTCTTAATGTACACGAAAACCACATTGATGATGTGATTACAAAGAAGTGCACAGATGATCCAACCTGGAAGGATGTATCTTCCATGCTTGATGCAATGTGTCTGAGGGTATTCTTCTTCATCAACATCACATGTGGCGTCATCTTCTTTACTCTACTTACAATGTAAAGTTGACCGTTGTCTTTGTCACAGTCTCAGAGGTGAGGTGAAATATACTGAGTCAAAAAGAAACTTCACATTCTTTCTTCAGGGCACTATAAAAAGAACAAGAGATGGTAAGATGGTTAAATTGTTATTATTTCATTGCTGAGATCTGTGTGATGTACTCGATACACTGACAGTGCCATAATCAGTTCCATTAGGCTACACCGCCGTTCCAAAACATGGGTATACAGAATGTCAAGTAACAAGAATAAAAATGCGAAATTTCTCAGTTCAATATCGTGTATGGCCGCCCCGCGCATTCACCACTGCCAAACACCGTCTCCCTCATCGACTGCCTGATGCTTGTGAACACGTGGTTGGGGATTCTGCGCCATTGCTCTTGCAAGGCAGCGCCAAGTTCCTGCAAATTCTGAGGTTGGTTCCTAAGACCACGAAGCCTTCTCCCAAGTGCATCCCAAACGTGCTCTATTGGATTAAGGTCAGGGGACCTCGATGGCCAGTCCATGACGTTGATTCCAGCGTTTTGAAGGAAATTTCGTGTCAACATCGCGGTATGCGGCCGAGCATTATCATGCTGGAACTGTAGACCTGGGCCATGAGCCGCCATGAAAGGAACGAGTTCAGGGGTGAGCACCTGGTCGCGGTAAGCAGCAGCTGTGAGGTTTCCACGGATGACCAGAAGTCGGGAACGGTTGTTCCCACAGAAAGCACCCCACACCATGCAACTTCCGCCCCGAATCTGTCGACTTCCTGTACACAACATTGGGCATACCGTTCACGACGTCGTCTCCAGACTCTATGCCTGCCGTCCGCGAATCTGAGGGTAAACCTGGATTCATCGCTAAAGACGACTCGATTCCAGTCTCTGGGTCCATCGGAGGTGACGTTGGGCCCACAGCAGACGCTGACGTTGATGAAACGGCGTCAATATTGGCCCACGATATGGACGTCGAGAATGGAGATTGGCAGCCCGCAACCGATTTCGAATGGTCTGTGAGGACAGTCGACCTCTAAAACATCTCAGCCCTGGTTCGTGTAGCCGGCAGAAATCTGTCACGTAGGTGACGTAGGACGATTTGACGGTCTTCTGCTCGTGACGTCACACGTGGACGACCCGACCTTGGGCGATCAGAAGTGGTGCCAGTTTGTTGTAGACGACCTCGCAAGTCATACACAGTACGACGGCTGCATCCCATTGCTCTTGCGACGTCAATAACTGATCTTCCGCTTGCAACATGCCAACGGCACGTTCACGTTGCACATTTGACAATCGTGGCATTTCAAGTACCGTTAGAACTGTGGTTTAAAAGTGTTTTTTCAATTCTTGAGGCCAATGCAAACACGTGCATATGAAGAAAACTTCGATGCGAAGATCACGTGATCGACTGCACGTGCAAAACCTGATTTGGCACTAACGTCATTTGCACGACGAATGGATGGGTTTGAGTGGGTTTTGCTAACGTTTTTCTAGAGTCGAAAGATAGGGATCCCATTTCGGATACATAGATGTATCATCAGAGAAAAAAATTCATTATTTTTCAAATTACATTTTTGAATTTTGACTCATTTCTGGTCAAATGACGACGTGCATGCGTGTGCATGTGGCTGATTGTACTAGCCCAGTTTAAGCTGGTTTTATAGTGCCAGCTCGCTGACCGCAGTTAAGCATGGATATCCCACTCAGACACATTATACTGACTCCGAGCCGACCAGTCCTTGTTGTACCCTATTAATGCCGATCTCCAGGCAGGGGAACAACAAGTACCTTATTACAAGTAAAAGTACCTTTTTGGTGCATGTCGCGGCCAGGGATCGAAAAACGCGACATTCCGCTCTCCAGGCGGACGCACTAACCACTACACCACGGAGGCGGCACTCACAGTCATTATCCTCCGCCAGAACAAAATATGCTAATGTATGTTTTAGTTTGATGTGTTAAAGTAAAATAATTACGTTTGTAGTACATCAAATTTATTTAACATGGTTACGTTTCTAAGTCGGCTATTTCTGCATCAGATACTGCAATGTTTCACATTTGTAACAAGCTTGATTATTAGTTCTTGATCCTTAGACGGAGGCATGGCATGTGGGCACACAATTACCTGGCCTCTACTGACCACATTGCGCACTCTTTCTAATGTCCAGAAATATGTATTAAAACATACGAAGAAACATCAAGCGACATTCTTTGACTTTCAGAACGCGTTTCATTCACATAATTTGCTAAATTCAGGCCTGAGGAGTAAAATGTTACAAATCTTAACAAGTATGCATATAAATTTTACAGCATGTGTACGATTTGATGGTATGTTAAACTATTGTCCTCTTTGGTTCAAATAAGGCTGCTTATGACGTCCTATGGTGTTCTTTCATGTTCCACTGACCCGTGAAGGTCCAGGTTAGAATTGTTCTTCAGTAACCCATGCTTGTCGTAAGAGGCGACTCAACGGGATCGGGTGGTCAGGCTCGCTGACTGGGTTGACACTTGTCATCGTATCCCAATTGCGCAGATCGATGTTCATGCTGTTGATCCCTGGATTGCCTGGTCAAGACTCGATTGTTTACAGACCGCCGCCATATAGCTGGCGTAAAAACTAAAGTCACTCACTCACCATGCTTCATTGATGACAACGGTTTTGTTAGACAGGGATGTACGGTAATCAACTGTATGCAGGTGTTTTAGAATTATTCATGATGTTATGCTAATGATGTGTTACTAGACGCAAATACTGTGATATGGCTTCAAAGCAAATGTGGCTGTATTTAGGAAAACAAACCCATTCTAAAATCAGAGGCCAAAATCCAGTGATCCTGTTACTTACTACTGTATTCAAATTAACACCTGTTCGTGTTATGTGGTTTGATGCCGAAATGCATTCAATCCTCTTTATACAGCTCACAACTATAGGGATTTTACGAATCAACAGATTGTAACGAATGAACATTACACATTCAAGATGTGTCTGGTTTTGTTAACATTGGACGACTGTGTTCTCAAGTTGTGTTGTACGTCTAACGTGTATAGAGGATGAACTGCATATACTGTTTGTTGTACTATTTACACTGATTGAAGTGAAGATGTAACCGACATATGTTAAACATATGTCTAAGGATGGAAAACAATTATTTCATCACCATGCACTTTCTTCCCTGCCAGAATGATATACTGTTTCGTAGCCTCACTTCGTGAAATAGTTATATACGCCCATTTTCTTGCATTATTTGAATAGTTGTATGCAGCTTATCTACATAGCTGGGTTGTTCTCACTGATACTATATCTTTGTTCCCTTGTTTTGTATATGGGACAGACGCCTTTAGTACAATAAAACATCTTGATGTTAAACCCTTCAAACAATATACATGATAAGTGATAAACACATTGTTCTTTACCCTTATACATTTTATAATGCTCTTTTGAGCATTGGAGAAATGAATCACAATGTATATGTTCAAGAGTTCAATTCAAATTGGAATGAGCATAGATTAGAAGGTGCTTTTCAAGTTGCAAAGAAAATAAACGTAAATAATCTACAAACAACTTGATGTATATGTGTTTGATGTGGTATTATTTGGGTAGGTTCCGACAATGATATTCCGAACCAATGCGAGGGTATTCTGGAGTAGACGTTTGCTAACTTTGTGATCATATTGTCTTTCAACTGTATCACTGAAATAAATAAACACAAGTAGAACTGGTATATTTTGTAATCTGTTAATGACATTTAGAACAAATACATACAATGGGGGAAGTTATATGTGTCGACTTCTGTATCCTGAAGATAGCATTATGTTCCTCGTATCCATTCATTTACCTCATTTAAACCTGTTTTTGTTCCATGTATTCTGCTACATGCTATGTTATGAAACTACATCCACACAAACATTACAGGTGACTTTGTAAAACATAATTGAGTGTGTGAGTTAAGGTTTTAAGTCGGCAATATTTCAGCCTTATCGTGACTGAAAACAAATTTAATTTTATAATGAATATAGGTAAACTCTAAAAAGCCTGTCAACGGACAGAATACCACAGTTATGAATATAAAACTAGTATGTAAATATTTTAGATACAGAAGACAACACAATATATAAAAACAAGCTGTAGATTGCCAACAACTGAAGTACTGATTGGTCATCCGTGTGTTCCCACTGTCTGGGGTGCTGTTTCGGATGCCTGCATGAAGGGATTCTGTACATGCTGTCGCACAACATGGCGGTCTTGTCGTCTTGTGGTCACCCTTGGTCTGCAAGTACGAGGGCGATCATTTGTGGTGTTGGTGGCCCGGAAACGTTGCTGCAGCCTGTAGATGGTCCGATCATTGACCTGGAAGTGATTGGCAACGGCTTGTGCAGTGTGGCCAGCTTTAAGTCTTCCTAGCGCCTAGTTCCTCTGAGCTGTCGTGAGTCGCGGCATCCTGCTGACGTTGTAATGTGAATGTTTCAACCAGGTTTCGGGGTGCATTTTATAGGGCTGGTCCTTGTGAACAGCACATGCAGCATGAGTTGCATTAAAAACATGAAGAACACCGTACCATCACCGAGATCAGGTTGCGTTTTTGAGACCATTTCCTGGGTTCCATTCTGAGTTTGGGAAGGAATGTCTTTGCTCAGGTTAAGTTGTTGAACAAAAATGCTTGAAATACCATGTAATAACTTATGATATTACTTCTGACTATGTGTGAGAAGTTTTTGAATTACCAACTTACTGTGTTTTGTAACAAACGTAGTAAAATATTTCATTGTTGTAATAACACTGAC